TTTTTCTTTTTGCTTATGTGGTGCTGAGGAATCGAACCCAGGGCCTCAGGCATGCAAGGCAAGCGCTCTACCACTGAGCCACCTTCCCAGCCCCTCAATGAGACTCATCTCCAGGTAACCAGCAAAAAGCTGGAAATGGGGCTGTGGCTCAAGTGGTAGAGTGCAAGCATTCAGTGACAAGGCTCAGGGACAGCTCCCGAGTCCTGAGTTCAAGCCCCAGTACCGGCACAGAAGCTTCAGGTGCTCCTGCTGTAAACCCGGGAGCTGCAAACCCCGTGCGTGTTCCAGACCATGGCAGCCGGAAGTGCCCAGGCACACAGCAGGCCTTGGGGCTGGACCCCGCGCCCCGTCCCCCTCCTCCCCTCTCAGGGTCTGATCACATTCCTCCCCCCGCCCCCCCCAGATCATGAGCCTGTGCCAGAGCCCCCAGGACGACCAGCTGATTCTGGGCCTGGCCAATGGCCAGCACTGGCTGCAGCCCTCCGCCGAGACCCCAGCACACATGGCGGGGAGTAAGGGGGAACTCATTCTCGGGGTGACATTCTCCCCGTATGGTAAGTGACCAGGCAGAAGTTCCCCCGAGGATTCCCCCTCCCTCCAAGGCAGCCCCAGACCCTGCCCAACCCTGCCAGGCTGCCCCAGGGCCTTTGCTGGTGTGGGCAGGGGGGGCGGGGCTGCTGCTGTGACCCACGCTTGCTTCCAGGGCAGTGGTGGGCCAGCGTCGGCATGGACGACATGGTGACCGTCCACGCCATGCCCACGGGAGCCAAGGTCTTCCAGGTACCACGGTGGCTGCGGGAGGGGACATGAGTGACCGTGGGGGACCTGTGTTCCCTGGGGTGTCCCCAATGCGTCTCAGACGGCCGCACCCTCCCAGGTCCCCGAGACTTCCGGCATCAACTGCTGCGCCGTGTCCTCCAGCAACCGTCTGGTGGTCACCGGCTCCCAGCACCACGCCACGGTGTACCAGGTCACCTACTGAGCGCCCGGGCACCCACCCAGCTCCAGCTGGGGTTCCCTGCTCTCCGGAGGATGTGGGGGAGGGGAAGGAGGAGTGTTTGGGGGGTCCCACAGTCTCTGATCTTTGTCACTGGTAATAAAGCATGTGAAAAGGCCATGTGGGTACCTGTCCCCGCTCTGAGGGGGCGGGGGGGGGAAAGTGGGGTGCGGCTCTGAGGGGGGCTGTACAGCTGCGGTGCGGCATGGTTTGAAGGCTTCCTGTGCTTTCCAGCCAAATTTACGCCTGGGGTTCCTGGGGCCTGAGTGGGTGTGGGGGGCAGATCTGTGAAAATAGGGGTGTTGTGAAAATAGGGGTTTCTGCCCCTCGGGCAGAAAACCACCCAGCCCTGTAGCCATAGGAGCTTCCAGCGGCCGAGCCCCTGCCGCGCCTGGAGAATGACCTTGATCTCCTGAACCAAGGAATGAATGAACGGAATGAATGATTCCTATCAGTGTGGCCCGTGGCCCCTGGGTTGGGGACAGTGACATTTGACTGCGGGCCGGGCCCGGGGAGCCACCAGGGTAGAGCAGGCTGGGCGGACTCACCCCAGTTCCTGACACTTGGACCCTCTCCAGGTGTGGCCTGGGCTCCTGTGTGGATGTGGTTTAGGTGACCCCCCAAAAGACTCATGATGGGGGCTAGGATTGGCAGCGGTGATAAAGGGAGGTGGGGTCTGCGGCCATACCACCCTGAACGCACCCGATCTCGTCTGATCTCGGAAGCTAAGCAGGGTCGGGCCTGGTTAGTACATGGATGGGAGATGGGGGTGGGGGGGGAATGTCATTGGAGGCGTGCCCTCCCGCAGGGGCTCATGGGACCTCAGCCCCTGGCTCTTTGCCCTCTGGCCAGGAGAGCGGGTTCTGGCTGTGTCCCTCCAGATCTGCGGTCATGAGAGCAGCCAGCGCAGACGGGAACCTCAAATCCCCAGGTCCACATACACTGTTGCCCTTTGTAAGTTTATCACCAGCTCCAGGGTGCAGGAAGTGGGGACAGAGGCATCTGGGGGACAGGGGGGGCCTTTACCAAGATGGACAGACCTCCTTGTCTCAGGTAGAAACTTTGGGCGTTTTTGTGGGGCTTGCTCTCAGGGCCTGGCGCGGTCCCTGAGCTCTCCCGCTCAAGGCCAGCGCACTATCACTTTGAGCCACTTCCGGTTTTCTGGTGGTTCATTGAAAACAGTCTCAGGGCCTTTCTTGTCCAGTGTGGCTTTGAACTGCGATCCTCAGATCTCAGCCTCCTGGGTGGCTAGGATGACAGGCGGGAGCCCCTGGGGCCCAGCCCTGCAGAAGTTCTGGCAGGACTAGGATGTAGCTGGGTACTCTGGCAGTGACGAAGGAGGGTACCCACACAGCCCGTTCTCCACCCCGAGACAGAGAGGCAGGTGTGAGAAGAACATTTATTCCCCTGAGCCACGCCCCACCTCCGCAGGGAAGGCTGGGGGGTGGGGGTGGGGACGCCCAGGTCCCCATCCCGGTCACCCCAGGGAGCTGGACTGGGCGCAGGGGAAGGTGGCCTCAGTACACCACCTCATACACGGTGGCTTTCTTGTCCCCGGAGCCCGTCACGATGTATTTGTTGTTTTTGGAGATGTCACAGCTCAGGACGGAGGATGACTCCTTGGACTGCCAACCGGGAGGAGGTGGGGTGGGGAGAAGAAACAGGAAGAGGGGAGGTGAGGAGAGGACCACCGCCATGGTGCGCCGGAAACGCCACACGCTCCTGGGACATCTGATTTACAGCAGCGCCACTTACAGTGGTTTGACCAAAAGATAGTGTGAGGCCGGGCGCTGGCGGCTCACGCCTGTCATCCTGGCTACGCAGGAGGCTGAGATCTGAGGATCCCGGTTCAAAGCCAGCCTGGGCAGGAAAGTCTATGAGACATCTCCAACCGATTCACAAAAGGAGCCACAAGTACAAATGCTTTCCTTGTCTACTAGAACACTAGAGGAGGCATGCAGCACTTTAGGGTAAAACAGGTTGTGAGAAATGATTTTCCTCAGGTAATGTGTATGCTGTGTGTAAGACAGGGTAAGTACGTTTAGTATGTATCAAACAAGGGCATGGGTATGTGTGTGTGTGTGCGTGTACATGCATGCACTGGTACTATGGCTTGAACTCAGGGTTTCATGATCAGACTTGGCTTTTCTGCTCAAGGCTGGTGCTCTACCACTGGAGCTCTACCTCCATTTCCAGCTTTTTGGTTGTCCCATTGAAAATAAAAACAGCTGCACAGTTTCATTGCCCGGGTTGGCCTCTAACAGTGATCCTCAGATCTCAGCCACCTGATGAGCTAGAATTACAGACTCAGGCTGTCTGTGCTTGATGGGTCCAACAGGTTTACCAGAACCCACCGTCCAAAAGGTCTCTGGAAAAGCATGAAAATCCGCCCACAGGAGACCTGTCCTCAGACATCCAGAGCAGCAGGATGCACAGTAGCTAACAAGTGGACATGGACAGGTAGACACCCAGCACGCTCCAGCCTCACACTGGAGTATTACTCAGCCATGAAAAAGCAAGCTTTGACCATACTACATGGAGGCCATCATGCCCAGGGCGAGAAGCAGACGCATGAGAGGAAATGTCTAGAATAGGTGGATCCAGAGGAAGTGGGACTCTGGGGGGGTTCAAACACGGGCGGGTGCGCTCTTGCCCCGACCCCTTCGGATGTACCTGAAAGATGCTGGCTCCGTAGGGTGTCCTCCAGGCGTTCAGCAGGTTGTCCTTGCCCGTGCTCACGAACCAGCGCCCTGTTTGGGGAGGGCCGAGAACAGAGGCGTGAGATACGGGGCGGCCTGCGGCCCGGGCCTGGGGCTCAGTGTCTCCCTTTGTGTGCAAATGGTCCAGTGAGCATTCTAGGGGACCCTGGCTGAGCCACGTGCAGGCTGCCCAACTCGGTTACTACAAGCCTCAATTTTGTTTCATTTTTTATGTTTTGGGTCAGTCCTGGGGCTTCAAGTTGTAGCCTGGGCACTGTCCCAGTTTTTGTTTTTGCTTCAAGCTAGCACTCTACCTCTTGAGCCACAGCTCCATTTCTGGGTTTTTGTTTTGTTTTGTTTTCCTCGGTTAATTGGAGAGAAGAGTCACACACTTTCGTTGGCTGAACTGGCTTCAAGCCATGATCCTCAGATCTCAGCCTCCTGGGTAGCTGGGATTTACAGGCATGAGCCACTGGTGCCCAGCTTCATTCAGTATTGGCTTTTTAGTGTAATCCAGGTAATATTTGAAATGTTAGCTGGTCTATTTTATTTTGTCGGCCATGGGGCTTGAACTCAGAGCCTGGACACTGTCCCTGAGCTTTTCCGCTCCAGGCTGGCACTCTACCACATTGAACCACAGCTCCAGTTCTGGTTGTCTGGTGGTTTATTGGAGATAACTGGACTTTCCTGCCCAGGCTGGCTTCACACCATGATCCTCAGATCTCAGCCTCCTGAGTAGCTGGGATTACAGGTGTGAGCCACCAGTGCCTAGCAGATTATATGCTTTTGATATGCTCACAAACCACCTGATAGTCGCCAAACCACTTTTTTGGGGAGGAGGGAGGGGAGAAGGTGGGGAGGAGGAAGACAGCCCCGCCTGGCCCAGAAACAACCCGGGATGACGGAGGAGGTATAGGAGCCCCAGGGCAGCGCAGGCACCGTACCACAGGAGGCGAATTTGAGCGAGAGCACGCAGCTGTCGTGCAGGTGTAGCTGGTACTTCTCGGGCTTACGCACGTGCAGCACCTCCACGTTGCTGCTCTCCATGCCCACAGCCAGCCAGTCCTGGTTGGGACAGTGGCCGAGGGAGAAGATCTAAAGGGAAGAGAGAGCAGTGGCGAATCCAGACTCTCTTTGGGGGGAGCTGGAGGGGAGATCCTCAGGAGCAACACATCCGTAGCATTCCCCCATTCTTCAGGAGACAGGCAGCTGGCCCAGGGCCGGGTGCACAGCGGGCCCAGTGCGTGTCAAGTCATTAATATTAATCAGAATTACACAGAACCCCGGGGCCGCACATCCATTTTCTACTGTGAGTGCACAGGGCTGTGGATGGGGGTGGGGGGACGAGGGGGGAAGCAGGGAGGGAGGAGAGGAAGTGTGGGGAGGGCCATGGTCGCCCCCCCCCTTGAGCAGATGGTAGAGGCTGAAGAAGCCTGGGCTCAAGGTCACTGTGCACGCTCAAGGTCACGGGAGACCATGAAAGAGATCTGGGAGCCAGAACTTCGGAGACCCAGCTTGGAGCTTTGCCAGGGCTCCGGGTTTGTTTGGATTGGAAAAGCACAAAGTGTTCTCCTCGTCGTTCTGCGCTGTACCCCGCACTAGGCACCCTGAGGACAGACGCTCTGCCCCGTGCCAACCTCACCAAGTCTCACTGACAGACAAGACTCCATGGAAGCCAAGAATGTACTGCAGAGCCGGGCACCGGTGGCTCACGCCTGAAATCCCAGCTACTCAGAAGGCTGAGATCTGAGGATCATGGTGGGAAAGTCCGTGAGATGCCACCAAACCACTGAAAAAAGCTGGAAGTGGCGCTGTGGCTCAAGTAAAGTAGATCATTGGCCTTGAGCAAAAGCTCAGGGACAGCGTCCAGGCCCTGAGTTCAAGCCCCGGGATGGGCCCACACACCAAATAAATACATTTATAGCAGAGAAGTGTGAAGGGCTTTATGCATCTTCCTGCCCGGTAATGGTGCTCACACCCATAATCCCAGCTACTCAGGAAGCTGAGAGCTGGAGGACTGATATTTGAAGCCAGCTTGAACAGAAAAGTCCATGAGATTCCATCTCCAATAATCAACAAGCAGGAAGGAGGCATGGTTCAAGGGGTAGAGCACGAGTCCAGCCAAGGTGAAGCTCTGAACTACTAAGAACCAAAGTGTATAAGCTGGGAAGGTGGCTCAGTAGTAGAGTGCTTGCCTAGCATGCATGAAGTCCTGGGTTCGATTCCTCAGTACCACATACACAGAAAAAATCAAAAGTGACGCTGTGGCTCAAGTGGTAGAGCGCTAGCCTTGAGCAAAAGAAGCTCAGGGACAGTGCCCAGCCCCTGAGTTTAAGCCCCAGGACTGGTAAGAAAAAAGAAAGGAAAAAGAAAAAAACAAACCAAAACGTGCACCACTAGGAAATGTTCCCACACAAAGTGGGACCATAGCCGGGCGCTGGTGGCTCACACCTGTAATCCTAGCTACTCAGGAGGCTGAGATCTGAGGATCTCAGTTCAAAGCCAGCCCGGACAGGAAAGTCCTTGAAACTCTTATCTCCAATAAACCACCAGAAAACCAGAAGTGGCACTGTGGCTCAAGTAGTAGAGCGCTCACCTTGAGCTGAAGAGCGCAGGGACAGCACCCAGGCCCAGAGTTCAGGCCCCACAACTGACAAAAAAAAAAAAAAAGTGGGACCAGCCAGTGGAACTTGCAACCCAGTTAACTTGAGGAACAGGGATGGACAGGTATGTCCACCTGTACCCCTATTTCCCTATCAAAGAAATCTTGAAGCCAAAAGTAAGAGCAGAGAGATGACACAGAGTCTGGCTGGCCCTCAGGTTTTCAGGAGGAAGGGCAAACCACAGATGGGCCTTTAAGGATGAGGAGGAGGAGGGCTGGGAAGGTGGCTCAGCGGTAGAGCGCTTGCCTTGCATGCATGAGGCCCTGGGTTCAATTCCTCAGCACCACATAAGCAAAAAGAAAAAAAGCCGAAGTGGCGCTGTGGCTCAAGTGGTAGAGCGCTAGCCTTGAGCTGAAGAGCTGAGGGACAGCGCCCAGGCCCAGA